GGATAGTGGATAGATCAAGGCAACTGGAGATGTCGATTGACATTACACTTGAATAGCTGGAGATTATAGCTCACAGGGAAACAGGAGAAGGGAAGGAGTTCCACAGGCGAGAGGTGCGAGACATGAAGCTATTGGAGTAGAAGAGACGGCAACATTTAGGGAGTTTCTTCAGTGAAGGGTGAGAGCAGGATGCCAGCCTCGTAAGGCGCTGAACTCGACGTCTCCAGCGAATGCAGCCTCGGAGCAATTTCCATGAAAGTATTTGTAGAACAGACAGAGGAGGCGACGGGGCGTCTGTGAGAAAGTGACTGTAGACGAGACGCCAGGGCAGGACCAACCATATTGCATATCCGCCTCTGGAGCCTATCAAGAACCCCGAGGCGAACAGAAGGGCCTCCAGACCATATATGGCAGCAATACTCCATGCAAGGGCGAACTTCTATTTCCTTGTATCCCCCTACGTTCATTAATATTGTCTGATTAAGTCGTTCTCTTTGGTGAAACTTGTTGCCGATTAGTTGTGTGCTCATTGACTTTCTTCAGTTTGAAATGAGTTGGATCTGAAATGACGACCTCAGCCACCGTATAGCAGGGTAACATGGTTCAAGGGTTGGGGAGCTCTGTCTTTCCTTTGAGTTCTTTTCCTCTCTTCTATCTGTCTTCTAGTATTTTCGAAGGATTTTGTTTTTTCTTTGTGGACCGTTCCCTTCCAATTGGCTCTATCTGCAGTTTCCGTCTTCCAGTTCATCGGATCGATTTCTGTCCTCGCCATGGTGATTTTGATCTGATCCTTGAGTCGAAGACGTGGGACTCTGCATGGTCTCTTGCCAGATACGAGCTCTGAGAAGGGGATTTTTTGTTGGGTAGGCGGATGTCTGTCATTCGGGCAAGGTGCCCAGTCCGTCGAAGTCGGTGGCGAGTCATGATGTTTTGTCGGCTATCGATCGTTGCTCGTGATGAGAACTTCGTTGTTTGTGATCCGGCACTGCCATTTATATGCATCACTATAGATCTTTATTTATTGAGTATTTATTTAGGGAATTTACTTTTACTATTTTTAAAAATATTAATACTACGACTTTATAGTCACTATTATAACTATATTAACTCTTACCATCCTATATTCGCTTTTATTTGCCTGTTTCCATCTTAACATGATTATTACTATTATCTGATACTTTTTTTTTCTCTGATATAGCTTGTTATTAACACACTAATATTACAAAGACAAAAAGAGTTTTCAGCCACACACATCCCCATTTATATTTGGCGTCATCTGACCGGAGTAAAAGACTGATCCATACGAAGGAAATGATGAAACAGAATCAATAAAATAAATTTATCATGTTCTGTGATCAAAAGATTGGTGATTCTCCATTGAAGCTATTAATGTCCGCTAGCTTTTATATTTAGCCCAGAAAAAAAGTAAATAAATATTCAATAGTAAGCACTGAAGCAGGCTCAAGTGTAGGCCCAAAATCTTGCGACTTGCAAAAAATTTTAACGTACTCCCATGTGGCAACTGTATAAAAAAAATAATATATAAATATATATATATATATATATATATATATATATATATATATATATATATAGGATTTTGAATGGTAATTTGCAAGTGGTGGAAACAGCATTCCTTATAGAATTATTAACAAGTGCATTGCGCGGACCTGTTCACTATTACTGTGAGTTTGAATAAGATTGACACAAGACCACTTACAAGCGAATCGAATTTCCTATAATATTGAATAGGTCTGCGCGATGCATTTGTTAATAATAATTCTATAAGAAAGAGATTCCGCACTACTTAAAAATTAGCATTCACATTCCAGAAGAGTGGACAGAACGATTATAAAAAAGTTTCCTCTACGAAACTCTGGACACGGTCCTGAAATTAATTAATCAGCTACGTGAAAAATTTTATATTTGTATCAATCCTATTTCATTTATCTATCTATCTATCTATCTATCTATATATATATATATATATATATATATATATATATATATATATATATATATATAGTTAATTTGAAAGACTGTTTTGAATACAAAGTTGAATGTTTTTTTTACGGTAGTATACTGATAAGGAGTCATTTAAGGCAAACAGAATTTGTAGTAAAGTGCACAATATCAAAGATAGAGCGTTAACAGAATGAATAATTGTCTTTCACTTAAAAGGTTAATATATCTTGAAGAACTTTGCATATACTAAAGAAATTATTCACTTGATATAAATGTTGTTTATACAAGCTGACTGTACTTTAAATTTAGGTATGAGAATTAAGCGTTGAACAAAAAACTAGCAAAACATTGCAGTCAGCAAAAAAAATGAAAAAAAAAAACAATTGATTTGAGAATGACTTTAAACATTCTCTTCACAGCATTCTTTTAAAACAGATTCTTTCTTCATTTTCTTGGTTTACTTCTGTTTATTTTTTCTTTTCACAAAGATCTTATCGATTTTTTGATAACTTCCTTCTAACAACATATCAACTTTTCATAAAGAACAACTTGAAAAATTTAAACTACATTTCATATATTTTTCTTAGATATCTTGCTTCTCAAATAAGGGATTTCATGCTATTTAGTTAGAATATGATTTGCAAAGCAACTGAATATTTCGTCTTAAATTACCATAATGATATGTGTTAATTTAATGAAAAAGAAAACCATGCTAAAGCAGAAGTCATATTATTCAAGGAACGTGTTCACTTCAAGCTGTACAGCCACGGCATGAATATTTAATTAGAAAATGATATAAGAAAGAAGGAAATCATCAAACTTTCCGTAATATGAAAATAATATTCATTTAACTTGTAAAGGAGCCATATCTAATTCAGCTACATTGTCTGTATAAAATTATTTTGGTAATAACAAGCAAAACTGAATCATCACAGCATACCAAGAGAAAGAGAGAGAGATAGACTTAATTCATTAAAAAATTTAATATATGTTTAATTATTTATAACTATTAATTACTAAATTCTATGTTTAGTAACGATACATACAGTTTTCTGTACAGCTGCATGGGTGGCGGTTAGCTAGTAAGGTTATTATGTGTATTGAGTTCGATCCTAACTGGGTGCCCCCATATAAATCTCGACATTCAACAACGGAAAAGAATTGTCATGTCGTAAAAATAACCTACCAATATATTTTAGTTAAATACTATGACCATGGTCCGTTATAGATATCTTCCCCTTAACATTTAATTAATAAATTTGAATAATTCTGAAAGAAGAATCGAATTTTCTATAATTTTGAATGGGTCTACGCGGTACCCATGTTAATAATTTTATAGGAAATACTAGCTTCATTCTTTATTTTTTACCTGGCTAAACTTAAATTGTTCATACCCAAAGAAATGAGCATCAATCTTTGCCACAAGGCAGAGTGTGAGGCTTTTCGATTAAAGACTACCAAGAAGAATCTTCTTTCTACTGTTGCTTAAATCTAAACACGTCAACCACGAAGCTGTAAAAACCCAAATGGAAAAGCAACAGCGAAATCTTTGAAAGAAAGAAACTGAAGATTCTGCCTGAGTAAAGAGGGACCAAAACTCTCCGCCTCTCTCCCCACCCTCTCTTTCTCTCTCTCTCTCTCTATATATATATATATATAGTAATGATAGAATGTGGTAAACCGTATGGAATTTCCAGGAGGATATAGATCCAGCGAGAGCCCTATGTCAAAAAAGACGCAACAAAATGTTAAGATTTTAACTGTTTGATATTCTTTAATAATAATAATATATATATATATATATATATATATATATATATATATATATATATATATATATATATATATATATATAAATAATTATAATAATTATATATATATATATACATATAATTATTATTATTAAATATATATATATATATATATATATATATATATATATATATATATATATATAATGAGTATATGAGTCAACATCGAAGTCAACACTTAGAAGCCACAGGCTGCTTCATGTTAGTCGCAATCGTCAGGTTAATATAAATGTCCACTAATATAAATTCCACTTTTATATTTACACATGGTCTATCTCTGATATTGAAAAATTTATCCCATAAACATAGCACACCTTAAGAGTATATTTCTTCATATATATGTATATATATATATATATATATATATATATATATATATGAAACCAGGACTGTCAAAATGCTTAAATGTAACCATCTTTTCTTCTCAAACAGCTTCTTCTCTCGTACTTCCCATCTGTGGAAATCCCTTCCCCTTACTTGCTTCCCCGATGACTACCATCTTCAAATATTCAAGTGTAATGTCAATCGACAACTGGCAGCCTGGGCCTGTTCCCCGTCCTTCTGTGTATCTTTTCCCCAAACACGCCTCTTTACTCTTCTTCTCAATCCTCTGTAACTCCTAGCGTGCTAGTCGCACTCTCACCTTGCTTGGGGAATTGCCTGATATATATATATATATATATATATATATATATATATATATATATATATATATATACACTTTATTTATTGTCTTGTCTCTCGACGTCTGAAGCAGTAGCGATTGAACCATAAACAGAATGATAGAATTGTACTAAGTTGAACAGAAAAAGGATTTTGGTAAAGAACAGATGAATTTAAGATTGGGAAAATGGGAAAAGATCTGGTGAACTTAAACAAAGAAGAAACATTGAAAGATTTCTCTGCTTAATATTTAATTCTTCGGAAATCCGGCATGAGAAAAATGTATTCAAAGAAAAGAAATTATCGTTAATAATAAGAAATAAAAAGTGAAAGGATGTAAAGAAAGCAAAACGACGCGAAAATATTGAGAATAAAATAACAAAAAAAAATCATAATTATAACGAATATTTGCAGATTGGCAAAAATGGTAGAAAAGGGAAAAAAAGCGGATTTTTAAGTGTTAAGAATTGAAAGAAGAAAATTGGTAAGAAAAAAAAAAGAAGCATAAATGAAAATTTTGAAAAGAGAATAGAAACGGATTTACATTGGAACTGCCAAAAATTAAATAAAAAAAGGATTGTGGAAGAAAGGAACAAAAATATATGGGGGCCTCGTATTGACAGGAAGAAGGATGGCGGCCGAAAGTGTGGGAAGAGAGACAAGTGTGGAAAGGAATGGACAATCAGAGATAGAAAGGTCAGTGAGAGTTAGTGCTTCAAAATGTTGCCGATAAAGGGAAGTGTTGTGCGCATGTCACTGGAGCTGACGTTAAATACTTGGCTGTCAGTAAAGGCTTAGAACAGATAAAAAAGGGCGTTGAAGGAAAAAAAATAACAATGAGAATGGTAATAAATAAAGGGAAATATACAAAACAAAACAAAACCAAAATTATATACTAGGCATTTGATAGAATACATACATACACACACACACACACATATATATATATATATATATATATATATATATATATATATATATATATATATATATATATATATATATGTATATACGTACATACATATATATGAATACGAGGTATGCTCTGAAAGCGTAGCCTACAAATTATTTCCCGGAAACTCCAACAAATACCGGGAGCATAATGACACCGTGGTTGGAGCAAGTTTTCTGCTAAAGAATTTATTTAATGTAGTCGGCACTGGAGACAATGCATGGTGGCCCGCGCCCACTAAAAAAAAAAGAATGCTCGTAGAAATCTGCATAACACAGAATAAAAATAGAAACGCATTATCCACAGTTTAACAATGCTCACATCTACTGTTTGCTCTCTGTAAACTTCCAGCAAGCCTTAATGAATGTCTGTGGCCTCAGTTATTACCACATGTTAATATTCAATTACAGAGCTCTACTTTGAATATACTTTCATGTGTAATTTTATAGGAAGCAATAGGATGTGCTCCGTGTGTTTTATATATATATATATATATATATATATATATATATATATATATATATATATATATATAATTATTTATTTAAAAAATTTTTATAACATAAATATATTATAAAATCACTACAAAAATAGCCATTTTGTTTCAACACTATCACTGTCTTATCAAGTGATGATGTTGAATGTAAAATAAATGGTTTTAAAAGTTTCGAATTAATTAACAATCCTTCACAATCCTTTACATTCAACATCATCACTTGATAAGACACTGAGAGTGTTGAAACAAAATGGCTATTTTTGTAGTCATTTTATAACATATTTATGTTATAAAATTTTTTTAAATAAATAATTATATCTGCTCTGCTTTGTATTGAGCACTCTTTTAAGAATAGTATTTGTTGGTTATTGAATTCATTCCGTATATACCAATCATATACTTATATATATATATATATATATATATATATATATATATATATATATATATATATATATATATATATATATATATATTATTCAAAATATATATATATATATATATATATATATATTTTGAACAATAAAAAAATATTAAAAATTAAAATCTTTAGACACACTGGGTTGTAGATTAATATTCTTTCGTTTTTTTCTATTATCATTTCATTTAGATTCCTCAACTAGTTTCGACCAAAATGCCCATCATCGGGAGAAGAAATATTTCTGCATGCTGGTAGCAGTCAACTACAGAAATGAATATATATATATATATATATATATATATATGTGTGTGTGTGTGTGTGTGCGTGTAGAATAATAGGAAAGAACGCGTTAGGTAAATAATCCAGGGTTCTTTAGTATTTTTGTTTTTATTTAAAAAAAAAAACAGTGCTCCAAAGAGAAGTAGAGATTAGACTATAATTATTTTTTAAAAAATATGATTCCTTCGCAACATAAAAGTTCTCATGTTTCAAAAAAGAGAGCCGAAACCATCAATATAATTATTAAAATTAAATTGAATTAAAGTAACAAGCCCTGTTTCATCGTCAAGCGAAAATTTAAGAATAACCAATTTTGAAGTTTACGTCTCGTTATAAGCATGTTCATTCGTTGCTATGGAAACGGCTCTCCCTGAAGGTGACTGATATGTGGATAAAAATTAACTCTTAAGCCCCTTATCAAAAATGGTCGCCCCACCCGTTTTCATATATTGAAATAAAGAGAAAGAACAGTAAGATAAATAAACCAGTGTTCTTATTGATATTTTTATTTTTACAAAACAGTGCTCAATGCACATCTACGGAGCATAAATAATTATAAATTTACAAATTTAAAAATATGGTTCCATCGCTATACAGAAATTACCATGTTTCAAAAACAGAAAATAAAAACTCAATTCAATTATAGAATTAAGTTAAAGTCTCTGGTCCTGTTTCATTTTCAAGCGAATTTTGAAATAACTAATTTTGAAATTTACTGAGTTTTATAAGCACATACTTTCATAATATTAATGTCTAAGGATACGGGGAAACGCAATATATATATATATATATATATATATATATATATATATATATATATATGTGTGTGTGTGTGTGTGTGTGTGTGTATGTATAAAGGAGTATACTGTCGTAATGGAGCGAGTGTGAACCACCCTTTGCTTAGCTGCATTATCATATCCTTCGCCAGGTCAATATACATTTAGAGTTTTTCTTATCCAAGACCGGTTACCACCCAAGGCTATAAAATCCAGTCAGTCCTACTATTTACCACTAGCTAGGGGGAGTTGGATTCATACATTACCCATTACTTCATTACATTCGCGTAACTGAATATAATGAACTCGACTGGAAATTCACCGCACATATATATATATATATATATATATATATATATATATATATATATATATATATTAAATTAAATATTTACGTATCTCTCTCTACTCGAATGTAGTCACTCGTCAGGAGATTTAATTTGTTTACGCAAAGCATATTTTTCCTTAAGTTTTTTTTAAATTTATTTTTGTTCTTTCTTTATTTTATGTTCTGTATTTAAAAAAAATGAAAAATATTTTATGTTTTATGTAATTTAACCCCTTCATCGCCAATTATTTTGGAAAAAACGTCTCATTTTCAGACGATTCTTTTTTTATGTTTTTAATATAGTAACTAAGAAACTGAGGTACCTTGAAGTACCCATGCAGTATGTAACACCTATACCAGACGTATGAGTTGACAGTTTGACTCGTTTCAAGCTCAGAAGGGTATAAAAAGGAATCAAGATGGACGAATAAACAAGTCTGTAGCTGATTTTTGAATGTTGGGCTTTGGATGTTTTATTCGTGTATACTCGTCTTCACCGAAAAATAGGTTAAAATACTCCAGTTGAATGTACAATGGAAATATTACTCTCAGACGGATGCAAATACCTTACATAGTTATGAGTTCTTTGTTTTTTTTCTTTTTTTTTTAAGCGTTTCACCCCCAAGAAAGGCGGGAAGGCACTAGCACGCAAGGGATTACAGAAGATTTGGAGCGAGATCAGATAGAGGAAAGGATGAGGAGAAGGATAGGAGATAGATCAAGGCAACTGGAGATGTCGATTGACATTACATTTGAATAGTTGGAGATTACAGCTCTCAGGGAAACAGGAATATCGGATGGAGTTCCACAGGCGAGAGTTGCGAGACATGAAGCTATTAGAGTAGAAAAGACAGCTACATCTAACAATTTCGAGAGAGAAAGGGTGAGAGCGGGATGCCAGTCTAGTAGAACGCTTAAATTCATGAAGTCTGGGAACTAGCGAAAGCATCTCATCGGAGCAGTTACCATGAAAGTACTTGTAAAAAAAGACAGTGGGAGGCGACGCAACGTCTGTGAGAGAACAAATGCAGACGAGATGCCAGATCAGGGCCAATTACGTTGCATATCCGTCTCTGGATTTTATCAAGAACCCCGAGGCAAACAGAAGGGGCCACAGACCATATATGGCAGCAATACACCATGCAAGGGCGAATGGTTGCTTTGTAGATTTGAAGGATCGATTCCGGCGAGAAAAAATTTCCTGTCACGGCACAGGGAGTTCTAAATATTTATACCTTATTATATATTAGGCTCGAAACGTACGACTGTATCGCGTTAAAATACCCGTTCCCATCCGATTACCGATGTTAAGTAACGTTGAAGTTGCGCAGTGATCAGATGGGTGACTACTAGGAATTATGAGGAACTGTAAGCTATGAGTAAGTCAACATGAATATCGCTAACAAGAGACCTCGGAACGTGTTGTGTATTGAGGTATGATGAACATGCCAATGACTCCAGATTTATAGGATAACTAGTAGAAGGAGAAGTCTTATGCTTAACATCAGGAAGAGGCAGCTGAAGTTTCTGGGACACATAATAAGAAAGAGGGGCTTGGAGAAAATGATACTCACGTGTGGAATAAAGGGAAAGAGAGACAAAAGAAAAAAATGCGTTACATACTTGGCGGGCTTAAGTGGATGACAGAACTTGGTCTGGGGGTGGGAAGCAGAGGGAAGGAAATTGTTGATAGCTGCAAAGGATAGAGGGAGGCGGAGAGCCATGATCGCCTACGTCCTGAAAGGATATGGCACATAAAAAATGAAAGTCCATCTGTCTAAATTTCTGGGAGGAGGAGTTATCATTATTTACACTATATTCGAGCTATTGTCCTAAACTTTGGTGCTAACAACAAAGATGGGAACAAAAGTCCGAATATAATTTATGTAGATAACTAACCTTCATTACAAAGATGTTTCAGAAACGTAGTATGTATATTTTGTGACGTACGTTGGTCGTTAATAATCAAGTATAACTCAAGATTTCAATGGTAAATAAAACAGTATTTAATTACAACCGCAAATAAATATTAGGTTGGTGCCAAAATAATGACGTAATAATGTCGTTTTTTGATGTATTTTTTAACGTCAAAAAACGACATTATTACGTCATTATTTTTGCACCTACCTAATACTTAGCAAGAACAAAGAAATAAAAGTCAACCAAAGATAATTAACCATTTCAGTGAATACCTTGTTAGTAGTGGGGTTCGGCTTAACGTCCGGTAAATCCGAAATCAAAACACAAATCATCGACTCACAATAATTCACACTAATTCGACTGGATAGTTCCAGTCAATAGTCACTTCATAATCACTGCAATCAGTAGCCTAACACCGCTATTTATACATCTGGCGGAAAATATTCATAAGTCCAAGAGTGTCACGCTTGAATCTCAGTGTCTGTAGTTTCTCATTCTTCATCAATATGACAGTATGTGTTAGTGAATACGATAAGCAAGGACTATTTGATTCATTTTTATGTAGTTCTCTTGTTTTCTAAGAGAAAAACGAATTGTTTCAAGACCATTGCAGGCATTGTCCATAGTTCTTATCGATGATTCTAGCGGTTGCGAGGTTTCTTTGGTCAGCTTCAGGATAAAAAGTAAATGCTATTTGTTAGGAGAAGAAGAGATTATGAATCTATGCTGACGTCTTCTTGGCGTTTTTGTTAGATAATATCCTGGTTTAAAAATTTAACACCAGAAACACCATTAAAGAAATAAAGGAATGCCTTAGATTTTAGTGTCGAAGTCTTCAATCTTAGGAAATGTCTTTTGAAAAAAATCTTACATCATTGATTTCTGTTTTTTTTTTTTTGTATTTTTATTGAAAATATTCAAAACCTCCGTTTCATAGACAAAAAAGGATATAATTCAATGCATTCTTAAATTTTATTTAAAAGACATATCTCTGCCTTCCATCAGAATGTTTGATACTATCCTACAAGAAAGAGATTCACTGTGACTTCTTGTGATAATATTCTCAGCTGACTTTAGGTGGAAAATTACATTGAATCCATCGAAAATCAGCTGCTAAGAATGTCGGTTCATTGTGCCAGGCGAGTAAATAATGATCTTGCATATGTATAAATCTGTCATTCGTCCATGCTTACAATATTGCTGCCATATAAGGTACGATGTCCCTGCTATATTCCTGGTGCTCCTTGATAAGATCCAAAGAAGAATCAACAATATTAATTTGTGCTGATCTGGTGACTCGGCTTCAGTGACTTGCCCACCGCCGAAAGGTTGCCTCTCAGTGCCTTCTTTTTATAAATACTTTCATTGTAATTGTTCGGATGAGCTTTTCGCTTTGGTACCAAGACTTTATGAATTTAAGCGCAATACTAGAGTGGTGACGAGATCTCATCAATTTACAGTTAAGCTAGCTAGATGTAGTCGTAAATTTCTATGTTGACTATTTCTTTTCTATGTTGCGTGTTTCCACCAACAATTTACGAGAAATTTTCATTCTTCAAAACTTATTTCTATACGTGCCATTGTTAAGTTGCATTGAATCTGAAGAAAGAAAGGAAATCAAAAGTTATAGGAGTTCAAAAATAGAGTAAATTTTTTGGAGTCTCTCTATATTTTCTGTGCATATATAACATTTACAATAAGTGGACGATGCGGGGTGGGTTATATATTACTTTTATTTTAAATGAGGTTAAACATTCACATCCGAATTAGAATCAGCAAATTTTCTTCTACCAATCATGTGCGATAGATAGATAGATAGATAGATAGATAGATAGATAGATAGATAGATAGATAGATAGATAATGACAGGAACGAGGTAGTTTTATATAAATGTCAGAAGTGACATATTAAATAAGATAGATAGATAAATATAAACAAATTTAACTAGTAGCTAGCTAGATAGCTAGCTTGCTACCTGGCTAGCTAGCTAGCTAGATAGATGACTGGAACGAGATTTATTTAAATACCGAAGTCGTCAAATTAAATAGAAAAGAATAGATTAGATTAGATTAGGTTAGATAGATAGATAGATAGATAGATAGATAGATAGATAGATAGATAGATAGATAGATAGATAGATTATTACAAGAACGATGTAGTTTTATTTAAATACCGGAAGTGTCAAATTAAATGGAATAGAACAGATAGATAGATAGATAGATAGATAGATAGATAGATAGATAGATAGATAGATAGATAGATAGATAGATAATGACAGGGGCGACGCAGTTTTATATAAATCAGAAGAATAAAATTGCAGAAATGGAAGCAGATATCCTTATGAAATAAATCATATCCAAGAAAGAATTACTAAAAACAAAAGAAGATAAAATTGTTGATCTTTGTTGTTGATGAAAGTAGACAAAATGGAAAATTAGGAATCAGTTGATTGGTCTGGCAATTGGACTCTTCCCCTCCAACATTCAAACATAGATTTCCCTTGCGTGGCGTGGATGATATCTTCGTTTTGCAAGTTGAAAATGATTTGTTAAAATGCCCCACCCTATTCGTCATCTACTTTCCCGCTTCTATCATTCTATAATTTTGTTCTTCGCTTACCTTGGGTCAATACGACGTGAGATTTGCTGCCATCTTTGTGATGAAGCCATATTTTGGAACTTAAGAAGGATTTAAGTAGAGACTGAATAGGAGGAGAAATAGAAATAGAAATGAAATATTTGTTTAAAAAAATCGCATGAAGAAGAAAATAAGAAAGACAAGGATTAAAGTTTTGCGTTAGAAGAAAAAAGAATTGCGTGAATAAGAAGAATGAGAAAATAAAGAATAGGATTAAGATAACGAATAACAGATAAAACGAACACAAAGTAA